ATAATCCTGTCATCGCTGACAATATTCTTGAAATGGTACAGGTTGCAGCTGAATTCAAATTCAATCTCGCTCTCAGTCCCGTCCACTTCAACGCACCTGTGTTCTTTAAACATGCCCCCAGAAAATACTAACAGGTGTTCAGTTAGGATTTTACGATACCATAACCAAGGCGGCATCCAAGACAGTGTTGTAGAGTAGTCAAGTTCATTGATGAGAACCCCATTGCTTCTTAGACGACAAACAACGTTAGTGCTGGAAGAAACCTGTTCGGTTGGAGAAAGCAAGAGGCAAGCCTTAAATCTTGATGACGCAGAGAAAGTCCTTGGAGATATGGTTATGGAGTTTCCTTTGGCTTTGTGAGTGAAATATGCAGGGACTTCTTTACCTGGTAAGCATACAAACATGTAAGCCCATCGTTGTATGATTACTCTTCTTGCTTCTTCAGCAAGTGACAAACAGTTGTCGAACTTAACTCGTCTGTTAGGATGGTAGAAACGGGAAGATACTCTTATCGCGTCATTCTCCGCGTTAACACACTTGCAGTCGTCGAGAGTGATATACGCTCTTGGTTCATCAAACGAGAAACAGACGCTTTTGAGCGATCCACAACCAGTTGCATCGAGAACCGAAAGCGAAGGCGGAAGACTCTGCAGTGACACCAGCTTTCTGCAGTGTTGGACTTTAAGAATCTCTAGAGCAGGGAGAGCAATGACGCAATCTGGAATCTTCTTTATATCACTGTGGCTTAGGTCTAGAAACCTTACACATGGGACCTGTGTTAGTCTCTTGAGGCTTCTGCTGCCTATAAAAAGCATGTCAAGACGAGACCAACGTCCAGCAACGGATGCAGGAACATCTTCTATCTTTGTGTCTCTTACATCAAGAAGACTGATGTTGCTAGAGATATCTGGGAAAGTTCTCAATCGTGAGCAACTTCGCATCTCGACACGCTTAAGAGATGCTAAGTTGATGTTGGTGGGAATAACTCGTAGATTTTCGCAGCCACTCATATCCAACTCTTCCAGTTTGTGAAGATTCCTAATAGAGGAGGGAAGCTCCACTAAACTTGTGCAACTCTGAAGTCTCAATGTCTCGAGATTAGTAGCGTTCGACAGGTTTGGGATTTCTTTCAACTTTTTAGAAAATCTCAGGTTTATCGTCTTGAGATTTGGAAGGAGCTACATGTGACAAAACACAACAAATGAGAAAAAAAAAACCATATGGCGTTTTCCAAGATTTTAATAGATGAAAAATACCAACCTTGACTCCTCCCCATAGCTTTTCGAGATTGCTGTATTGCATACTGAACTCGACGAGACATTCTGGTTGGAATGTTGGAGGAAGACGTTTTCTCGGGTATAAATCCCAATGTAGTAACTTTAGAGGTAGATATTCCATGTCCTCTGGTATCCTCAACGGAACATCTTCTCTAAAAAAATTCCAATTATGGACATAGAATCTTAAGAATCCGAGATTATGCATTCCTTCAAAGGCTCGCCCACTTACAGAGAAGTCGCTCATCTTGGACATATCAAATGATATACCTTTGACAGATCCAGTGCCCTGAAAAACATTCCAAAACAAGACCTGGTTATAACGAAATCAATATGCAAAATCTCTAGAGAATATATATAAATGTAAGAACTTAAACTTACTGTTTCCTTTGCTAGTACATCACAGATCTCTTCAGCCTCTACTAAAAACTGACGCTTCCCAGGCTCATCTGACTGTTCATAAACTATTTGTCTGCCCATTTGTTCTAGTAAAGAGTGCATCACTATCTTCTGATCATCCCTATCGATTTGCACAAGAGATCTGATGGCTAAGGTCTTCAACCCATTTCCAACATCCAAATTACTGCTAGCGAGCATAGCTTTCACACTATCTACACAATTATTGTTGAAGATGCATGCAATGTGGAGAAACAGAGCTTGGTCTTTCTTCGACAATCTGTCATACCCCACTCTTAATACGACTTTGATTTTTCTATCAAGACTAGCCTCGATCCTAGATAACTGAAGTTCCCACTCTTGCTTGCTCTCCCCACGCAGATACGATGAACCCACAACACAAAGGCCTAAAGGAAGATTACCGCAAAGCTCAGCTACTGTTTTTGCAAGCTCTTCGAAACCATCTGGTGGAGAACTTTGCTTGAAAGCAGACAGAGACAAGATCTCAAGAGCTTCTTTTTCGGATGGAAAATCCACGTGGTAGATAAGGTCGATCTCGTGTGCCTTCAAAATCTTTTTATCTTGTGTGGTAACAATGATCCGACTTCCGGAACCAAACCAAGAAAGTTCTCTAGCCAATACCTTTAACTGCTCTACATCATCTACATCATCAAGAATGATAAGCACTCTTTGATCTTGTAGCCATTCTTTTATCCCCTCTAAATGAAGTACTCTCACATCCCTTTGGTTCAAAATCTTAGACAGAAGCTGGTTTTGCAAACACAGCTTTGAATCATAGTCATCAACTTTGAATCTGAGGTTTCCCATGAAACATTTAAGCCTAAAATCGCTAGAAAGTAGATTGTATAAAGCTCTAGCAATGGTAGTCTTACCGATTCCCGCAGGACCCCAGATTCCAACCATCTTCACATCATTAGACTCAAGGCATAACAAAGAGCTCAGATTTGCCAAGTGAGCTTCAAGTCCCACCATGTTGTCAAAATCCCTCGAGGGTGTAAAATTCAGTTTCCTGGAAACATCTGTAGCAATCTTTTGGATCATCTCTGCTTCGTTAGCCCTTCACAAAAAGGAAACAAAATCATGTTGTGAGAGGTTACAAAAGCTTCACCATTTCTTGAGAATTTTTTTACAAAAAGCAACCAAATTCATACCAATTGAGAGAATGTCTCCTTCAATGTTTGCGACATCAGTCAAAACTTTGCTCCATCTCTGCTTCACTTCCTCAGCTTTCCCTTCGCAAGTCTTCACGAAAGCGCTTCCGAAATCTCCTCTCTGTTTCCGTACATCGGATGGATTCACGTCGTAGAAAACTGTCATCACTGTCCGCTTCTTCTGATCTTCTTTGCATTTGAAGATCTCCACCAGTTCATCTAAACACCAGCTTGAAGAAGCGTAGTTCTTCGAAAGCAGAACGATCCAGACCCTCCACTCTCTAATTGCTTGTACGAGGTCAGGTCCGATCGAGCTGCCTCTCTCGATCTCCTGATCGTTGAAAGTCGTGATTCCCTTGCTCGCAAAGTGACTACGTAAGTGACTGAGAAATTTTCCACGGACGTCTCGGCCGTGGAAACTCAGAAAGACATGGTATCTCTTGATGTGAGACGAAGAAGAAGAGGAAGCCATGAGAGAGTAAAAGAGAGGTTGAAGAAAGTATCTACCGAGGAGAAAACAAGCTCCTTGTTATATAATGAAAAGCAAAACGCATAAAAGAGGAGAGAAATTTCGAAGAATACAAACATGTTTCCCCAAAAGTCGTTGCGGACCCCACTTCATCATCGTCGAAGAGGGCCACAAGCTTTTTTATTGGTAACTCGGAATTGGATTTTGTAAAGTATGCCATTTCTCGGTGAAAAAGCACATGAAATGAGCTCCGAGCTAAAGCTTGAGAATCCATGAGAAGATCGGAGGAAGAAGAAGCCGCAGAGAATGGTCAACATTAGGGTTCTAAACCGAACCGATATAATCCCAATCCAATTGTTGGTTTGAAAACTTAAACCGAGGTAAAAACTGATACTGGCCCTAAAACTTCGTTAACAACTTAACAGCCCGAACTTGATGTACAATTCCGGTTTAAATTAAAATCGATTCCGTTTGTTTTGGTACATAAACATTTTCTCAATTTCCATTCGTTGATTCGGTTATGTTCCAAGTTCGGTCTTATTTTAGTCTTGATCCCCATTTCGCTATCTTCCTAACCAGATTCTGTATGTTATAGACTTATGTTTATTGCTAGTTTTTCTTTTCTACCACTCTTATACAAACTAGGAAAAAGGACCCGCTTCGCGGAGTTAATTTACGGTATATAAAAAATTAAATTGAAATTTATTTAAAATAATTATAAGTAAAATACATAAAATAAAAATTAATAATAAAAAATATAAACATCTAAAAAATTTATAATGATTAAAATAAAAAGGTATATTTTTTTAATTGTTAACAATAAGATTTTACAAACTAATTAAGATAAAAAAATTGTTACTACTAATTACGAATAAGAAAAATAAAAAAACTAATAATAAGATACACAACTTTTTAAATATGAAAATATACAATCTAAAAATATGATATAAATATGCAATTTTTAAACTATTTTTATAATTATTAAAAATTTGTATTCGCAAAAAAGTGTAAAGCAAAAAGTAAATATATATGCCATCTTTTAATAATAAATTCACTATAGTAAGAAAGTAAAAATAAGATCTAATTGATTTTTTTTCTGTGGTTTTAAGCAATATAAATAACTTTAAAAAGACACAAATAACGGTTGTGATGGAAAAACGCAACCATTTATAACGAAAAGACGCAACCATAAATTTTGAAATGACACAACTTTTTAAAGCGCAAGTGACATTTATTTGGATTATTATTATAGATATAGTGGTTTTTTATGTGATTTGAATTATAAAAATAGTTCGAATAGATCCAAATTATCTCTGATGAAAAAAATGCAACCATTAATAATGAAAAAAATATAATCATTTATAATGAAAAAATATAACTATTTATATTGAAAGTATGCACCCACAAATTTTGAAACCACACAACTTATCAAAATGCAAATAGTCTTTCTAAACACAACCTTGAATTATTAGATTTGATATTATAAAAAAGAATGTTGACCTTAAAAACTTTCATTATTTCACAGTTTATTGTAATAATAAATCCACTATAGTAAGAAAATAAAAGTTAGAAGCACAAACTAAAGCAAGTGGTGAGGATGGTGCATCAAGAGGGTCTCAAGGCAGGAAAGCATCTCCGTTGAAGCTGATAATCATGTCTGCAAGCTTGGATGCGCGAGTTTTCTCTAAGTATTACGGTGGTGCCAAAGCTGTTCACGTGGAAGGGCGACAGTTTCCTGTTGAGGATCTTTTCACTGTTCGTCCTGATATTATGGCAAAGTACACATGCCGTGTGGAAGCTGACAAGTCACTTTATCCTGTGTTATTGTCCAATGGAAATCTCATTTCTCAAGGAGATACAGAGGTTAGCAAGATAGTGACTTTGTTTCTTCCTCTTCGCAAATGTCCTCTCAGCTCTTTGCTTAAAATGTAGGGAGGTCGGCACTATGCCTTATGGGAGGATCCATTCAAGAAACCGTGCTATCTGTTTGCTCTAGTGGCTGGACAACTAGCGAGCAGAGATGATACATTCACCACGCGCTCTGGTAGGCAGGTATCTCTGAAAATCTGGACTCCTGCAGAAGATCTACCGAAGACTGCTCATGCCATGTATTCTCTGAAGGCGGCCATGAAGTGGGATGAGGATGTAAGTTCTTTCAAAAAGTTATGTTATACTGCATCTATTTGAGGTTACTCAATCTGATTTTTTTTTGTGTGTGCGTTATCCTTTTCTCTAGGTGTTTGGCCTTGAGTATAACCTGGATCTCTTCAACATTGTTGCCGTTCCAGATTTTAACATGTATGAACAGATACTAAAGAAATTTGATAATATTGGTCCATTTGCTCATATCTTCAATCCAAAACAAAGAGCTCATGATTGCATGTCTTTTACTTTTTTATTACTGTGGACAAACTAACTGATTTCTGCGTGATTTTCAGGGGAGCCATGGAGAACAAGAGTTTAAATGTAATTCTACTTTGCTTCATAAAAATAACGTACTTGTGTTGTTTTAAATTCTATCTTGATGGAAATCCATGAGCTTCTCTACCTTGCAGATTTTTAATTCCAAGCTTGTCCTGGCATCTCCAGAAACTGCAACAGACGCAGATTATGCTGCAATTCTGGGAGTTATTGGTCATGAAGTATGGAACCATACCATATGTTGTATATTGAATTCTTATCTTCCGTACTATTATCTTTTAATGAACGATCTTTTGTTAGTTTTTGTGCAGTACTTCCACAATTGGACAGGCAACAGGTCAGCCTCTTTTTATCCTCCCTTTATTACAATTGATTAATTCTTGCTGGTTGAATCTTCTAATTTGTTTTTTTTTATTCTTGTTTGTAATTTTGTATATTAAATTCCATAAAATACATTGTTAGTATGCGGCCTGGTATATGACCAAAACTCTATTTGTAACGACAGGGTGACATGCCGTGACTGGTTCCAACTCAGTCTAAAGGAAGGACTTACTGTCTTCCGTGACCAGGTTCATTTACCCTTCATTATTCAAAGATTAGTATTGCAATTTTTCTCTATTTAATGATTTAATTTCTCAAATTCTTCTGTGCAGGAGTTTTCATCTGACATGGGAAGCCGTACTGTAAAGCGAATTGCTGATGTTTCAAAGCTGAGGATCTATCAATTTCCGCAGGTACCTTGTCTTGTACTCCTTTGAGGCCACTACATTGGTTTTGTTTCCTTTTTTTCATGCTAAATCATCTGCCGTTTCCTTTTTCAGGATGCTGGTCCTATGGCACATCCTGTTCGTCCACATTCATACATCAAGGTCAGAGATTCTTGTTACTTGTCTTGCCTTGAAATTTATGATGTACGTGTAATCTTAGGTATTGATACATATGGTTCGTTTTCTTTCTCTGACAGATGGACAACTTCTACACAGGCAAGTTTCTGTTCGCTCGGAAGTCTTGGATTCTGTTATAGCAGTTTATTTTGTTACTTTCACTGTTGTGTTCCAGTCTAACGTGCTTGTGTTTTTGTAATCGTTCCAAACCTGCATCACGTGTCTGGCCATCATTCTACTCTTTCAGTGACGGTAAGGAACCAATAATTCGTTTTCATCTATAGTTTCATTTCCTATCGATCCCTTGTATATTATTTCTAACATAATGATTTGTTTTCTGTTGTCGTTTCAGGTTTATGAAAAGGTTTGGCTCTTGAATAATAGTGTTGCTGTCATATGCAGTAAGCAAGAAACCTTAGTTGACTGTATAATGTTTTCCTAGGGAGCTGAGGTTGTGAGGATGTACAAAACTCTGCTAGGAAGTCAAGGGTTCCGAAAGGTTGCCTTCTGTTACTGTTTTCTTGTGTGGATCTTGTAGTGAGATTTTATGTCGTGATCCATACTTCCGCTCACCTTCTATATGTGCATATATTACAGGGAATGGATCTCTATTTTAAGAGACATGATGAGCAAGCTGTGACTTGTGAAGACTTCTTTGCTGCTATGCGTGATGCAAACAATGCAGATTTTGCTAATTTCTTGCAATGGTAAGTCAGTTTTAAATAGTGGAATTTCTGTTGTGAATATTATTGGTGGTTTCATACTTCTAAGGATATACCACATACAACATTTTAGGTACTCCCAAGCTGGAACGCCAGTTGTTAAAGTGGCCTCCTCTTACGATGCTGAAGCTCGTACCTTTTCTTTGAAATTCAGGTCCTGTTCTTCTCATGTGTATTCTATTTTGCCATGTTTTACACCAAAAGATAATGCACTGCGATTGAAATTTAATCCTCTATATATCTTACCTCTACGGAATTTGTTGTTGACACATTGGCTTGCTTTGTAATTGATCACTTTCCCAGTCAGGAGATACCCCCGACTCCATGCCAGCCAACAAAAGAACCTACATTTATTCCAGTAGTGGTTGGTCTTCTAGACTCAAGTGGGAAAGACATTACACTTTCCTCTGTTTATCATGATGGTACACCGCAAGCCATTTCAAGCAGCAGCACAATACTTCGAGTGACTAAGGTCCGTCGAGAATCCCTTCTTTAAACCAATACTACTTTTTGTAATTTATGTACACTTTCCTCTGTTTCCTACTGTTTTTTCCTCACCGTATGTATTGTTTATGTGCAGAAAGAAGAAGAGTTTGTGTTCTCTGATATATCAGAAAGACCTGTTCCATCCCTATTTAGGGGATTCAGTGCCCCAGTTCGCGTTGAGACTGATCTCTCCAGTGATGATCTTTTCTTCCTCCTAGCCCATGATTCAGATGAATTCAACCGGTATGTGCCTTTCTACAACATATTAGCTCTTCTTTATTCTCTTTGCGCATTTCGATCATTCAATTTTTTTCTGTATTTCAGGTGGGAGGCAGGTCAGGTTCTGGCAAGGAAGCTCATGCTGAACTTAGTTTCTGACTTCCAGCAAAATAAACCGTTGGTTCTAAACCCAAAATTCGTGCAAGGTCTCGGCAGCGTGCTTTCTGACTCGAGCTTGGACAAGGTATGGCTCTACATTTCCTTCTCGACCCACGTAATCATACAAGGAAGTGTAGCGTAAGACTTTGTTGTAATCTGTTTCTTTAATCTGTTCTGTAGGAATTTATAGCCAAAGCAATAATAATGCCTGGGGAGGGAGAGATAATGGACATGATGGACGTGGCGGATCCCGATGCTGTTCATGCTGTTCGAGAGTTTGTCAGAAAACAGCTTGCATCTGAACTTAAAACTGAGTTTCTAAAGATAGTATGTCTTCTTCTCTCTACATAGTGAACCGTTCTGTGTTTTCTTTCTGGAATTTCTTTTCCACTGAAACTTTTCGATTGTTGTTTTTTTCTGCAGGTCGAGAACAATAGAATCACTGAAGCTTATGTCTTTGACCACCCAAACATGGCGAGGCGTGCTTTAAAGAATGTAGCCCTAGGTTTGCATTCCAGATTTATAGAAGGAGATGATGCTCTTTTACTTCGAGTCACTCACTAACTTCATTATGGTTTGTTTTGTTGAAACACTCCAGCTTACCTTGCATCTCTCGAGGATCCAGAGTTTGTGGAACTTGCATTGAGTGAATACAAGACGGCCACAAATTTGACGGACCAGTTTGCTGCTTTGGTATCTCTTTCCCAAAACCCGGGTAAAACCCGTGACGACGTTCTTGCTGACTTCTATGACAAGTGGCAGGACGATTACTTGGTATGGAGTTTCACAAATTCACTTGCCTCTTCCTCCCGGATTTACATATGCCATTACTAACATTTGTCTCGGCTTCTGATCTCAGGTTGTTAATAAATGGTTCCTCCTTCAAGCAACGTCTGACATTCCTGGCAACGTGGAGAATGTCAAGAAGCTTGTGGATCATCCAGCTTTTGATCTGCGCAATCCGAACAAGGCAAGTGAAATCTCAGAACTCAATTCATTCCGCAACCATTTGTTGTTTCTCAGTTGTATATAGGCTTACGATGAAACCAAACAATAATGATCATTCAGGTTTACTCGCTTATTGGAGGGTTCTGTGGTTCTGTGGTGAATTTCCATGCCAAAGATGGATCGGGTTACAAGTTCTTGGGCGACATTGTTGTCCAGTTAGACAAATTGAATCCTCAGGTTAACTTCGTGTCTTTGCAGTTACCTTTGTAGCTATAAACATCTTTAACAATGTTTTTTTTTTCGTTTGGTCTGATGAGTTTAGGTTGCGTCTCGTATGGTGTCTGCCTTTTCAAGGTGGAAGCGGTACGATGAAGCCCGGCAAGCTCTAGCCAAGGTAAACGCAAAAAATCCAGTCTTGAATATTCTCTAAGAACACATAGCCAAGATTATTAGTGGTTCTGTGTCAGGCTTTGTTTTTTATATGCCAAGTTTGAAATTCTGTAGCCATGATTGGGTTTATAACCAGAGAAGAGGTTTAGTAGATTAAGCTGTGTTGTGTGCTGTTCTGCAGGCGCAATTGGAGATGATAATGTCAGCAAATGGATTGTCTGTGTTGGATTTAATTGAGTTTAATTATATAAATTATAAAGTTAGAAATTGAATTGTATTAAACGGTGCTTCTAAGCATCGTGATGTTAGTAAAGAGTTGTAACTCGTGGTTTAGGAGACACATGTAGAAAGACACAACTCTTATTCATGTTGTTTGGAAAAGTATATAAACATATGCTCTCCTTCTGTTGTAAATACAGTTTTCATAATCAATAACAAAACACAAATTTCTCTTATACGGTACTCTGTTTTTCATTCTACAAAACAGAGCAACAAGTAAACACTTGTTTTGCTTTTTGAGAAAGAAGCTTGCGCTTCTAACATGGTATCAGAGCCTTACTGATTCGTGAGGGCCAATTCGAGTACAAAGTTCTAACGAACTGAAGAAGAGCGATGGAAGCAACATCGCATCAGGTGATTCCCATATTTGATGGGGATAAGTATGATTTTTGGCGTATCGAGATGACTACAATTCTCAAGACCAGAAAATTATGGACGGTGGTGGAGAGCGGACTTTCAGAACGACCGGCACAAGCGGATCATACTCCCGAAGCATTGCGATTGAGAAATCAGTGTGAGGAAGAATCAACAAAGGATATGATGGCACTGCAAATTCTGCAAACTGCCGTATCAGATCAGATCTTCTCTCGCATAGCACCGGCCGTTACTTCGAAAGAAGCGTGGGATGCTTTGAAATCAGAATTTCAAGGATCTCCACAAGTACGATTGATTAAACTACAATCATTAAGGCGAGAGTACGAAAATTTGAAGATGAACGAAGGTGACAACATTAAGGTTTTCACAGATAAACTAATTGATTTGGGAAATCAATTAAGGGTTCATGGTGAAGAGAAGACGGACTATCATATTGTCCAGAAGATTCTCATATCTCTCCCAGCGAGATTTGACAGCATAGTGGCTGTAATGGAGCAAACGAAGGATCTCACTTCGTTGTCAATGACAGAGTTAATAGGAACTCTGAAGGCACATGAGAAACGGGTGTCATCTCGTGATGAAAGCATGACGGAAGGAGCGTTTTATGGAGAAAAGTTTGTTTCAAAAGGAAGAAACAAAAGTGATGATAGACATCACAAGAAGACCGATAAATGGTGTGGTGTTTGCAAGCAGTACAATCATAATGAAAGTGAATGCTGGTTGAAGAAAACGAAGAGCCAAGGTTTCTCTTCACAGATAATTGCAAACAACGAGAGAAAGTGTTTCGTGTGTAACAAACCGGGACATCTAGCAAAGAACTGCAAACTTAGAAAAACCGAGAGTGCGGATCTAAGTATTGAAGAAACAGAAGATGACTCAGAAGATGAAGGTCACATGCTGTTTAGTGCAGTCGAAGAAGAAACATCATCAAGAGTAGATGATGAAACATGGTTAGTTGACAGCGGATGTACTAACCACATGACCAAGGAAGTATCATACTTCATCACTCTTGATAAGAGTATCAAAATACCAATCAAAGTGGGGAATGGTCAACGAGTAATCACGGCAGGGAAAGGGAATATCCAAGTGATGACTTTTAAATTATTAAAAGTTTTTAATATAAAATTTTAGTTTTTTAAATAATTAATGGTTTGATGGTTTGAATATATAATAACAAACTGAAAAAATGCCAATTGCATTTTGAAAAATTGTGTCCTTTTAGAATTTATGATTGTGTCTTTTCATTATAAATAGTTGCATATTTTCACAATAAATTGTTGCATTTTTTTACCAACTATAATTTGTATCTTTTCAAAACTATTTATATTGCTCAAAACCATAGAAAAAATTATTTGGATCTAACTTTTACTTTTTTACCATAGTAAGTTTTTTTTTGTCGTAAACTTGTTTATTTATCATAACATATTATGAAGATACAAAGTGTTTAAAAAACTTGGAAGTTCAGATATTAAATTTGAGTAAAAGATTTTATTTGGGGGTCCAATTTTAGCTGAATGTGAGCAGTTTTATTACAAAATTGTTTTACATTCATTACATCAGAAAAATAAAATCTTCAACTAAAATTTAATGATATTTTTATTATAAAGAAACTATAAGTGTTTTACTTACTGATATATATTATGTTATTTAATTTTTTGTTAACAATCCGAACAAATGCCATTTACACTTTAAAAAGTTGTGTCGTTTCAAAATTTATGGTTGCGTCTTTTCATTATTAATGATTGCATCTTTTCATTATAAATGATTGCGTTTTTTTTATTACAACTGCTATTTATGTCTTTCCAAAACTATTTAAATTGCTCAAAATTACAGAATAAAATTATTTGGGTCTAACTTTTACTTTTTTACTATGGTGGGTTTTTTTGTCGTAAACAATCCGAATAAATGCTACTTATACTTTAAAAAATTATGTCATTTCAAAATTTGTGGTTGTGTCTTTTTATTATAAATGATTGCATCTTTTTATTATAAATGGTTGCGTTTTTTCATCAGAACTGTTATTTGTGTTTTTTTCAAAATTACTTATATTGCTCAAAACCACAGAAAAAAATTATTTGGATCTAATTTTTACTTTCTTACTTTAGTGGGTTTTTTGTCGTAAACTTATTTATTTATCATAACATATTATCGGGATACAAAGTGTTTAAAAATCCTGGAGGTTCAGATATTGAATTTGAGTAAAAAATTCTATTTGGGAGTCTAATTGTGGCTAAAATATGATAAATTTCATTACAAGATTGTTTTATATGTATTATATCAGAAAAATAAAATTTATTCAACCAAAATCTAATGTTATTTTTATTATAAAGAAATTATATGTATTTTGTTTACTAATATATTATGTTATTTAAATCTTTTTGTTAACATCTATATATTTGTAGTTAATTGTGTTATTTTCAAGTTTTAATATTCTTTGTTAGTTGTTTATAAATTTAAAGTACCTAATATTTCGATTCTTTTTTCTAATTTCATAGAAATATATTTATGTATAACAAATTCACATATATTTTATATATGTATTTTTAAGGTATCAAAGTTTTTTTATATATTTTAACTAATATATTTGTAATATAATTTTTTAATATTGCGAATATTTTTAGAAACTATGGTAGTCTTAGAAAGTGTATTATAAAATCTCATTACATCATTTTATTATGTATATTTCCTGTAGTATTTTGTTTTAAAATATCATAATTTTATCATAATTTTTTGTTTCTAACTTTTTAATACTAAATGTATAGTTTTATAAACTATTTTTTGGAAGATTGCCTTATTTATTTTTTACTTTACACTTTTATGCGAATATAAATTTTCAATAATTATATAAATAGAAGATCGCATATTTATATGATATATCTATATTGTATATTTTCATATATAATTTTTTAAAACACTTAAAAAGTTGTGTATTTTATTACTTTTCAGTTTTTTTATTTGTTCTATTAATAATTAGTAATAACAATCATACGAAAATTTATATATTTTTATCATAATTAGTTTGTACATTTCCATTTAAAACTTATTGTTAATATTAAAAAAAAAATTGAAAAATAATTTTTTTATTTTAATAATTATAAATTGTTTTGAATGGTTGCATTTTTGTTATATATATTTTACTTATAATTATTTTAAATAAATTTTTGTTAATCTTTAAAATACCGTATATTGACCCCGCGAAGCGGGATCCTATTTATAATCCACAAGCTTTTTTATTGGTAACTCGGAATTGGATTTTGTAAAGTATGCCATTTCTCGGTGAAAAAGCACATGAAATGAGCTTCGAGCTAAAGCTTGAGAATACATGAGAAGATCGGAGGAAGAAGAAGCCGCAGAGAATGGTCAACATTAGGGTTCTAAACCGAACCGATATAATCCCAATCCAATTGTTGGTTTGAAAACTTAAACCGAGGTAAAAACTGATACTGGCCCTAAAACTTCGTTAACAACTTAACAGCCCGAACTTGATGTACAATTCCGGTTTAAATTAAAATCGATTCCGTTTGTTTTGGTACATAAACATTTTCTCAATTTCCATTCGTTGATTCGGTTATGTTCCAAGTTCGGTCTTATTTTAGTCTTGATCCCCATTTCGCTATCTTCCTAACCAGATTCTGTATGTTATAGACTTATGTTTATTGCTAGTCTTTTCTTTTCTACCACTCTTATACAAACTAGGAAAAAGGACCCGCTTCGCGGAGTTAATTTACGGTATATAAAAAATTAAATTGAAATTTATTTAAAATAATTATAAGTAAAATACATAAAATAAAAATTAATAATAAAAAATATAAACATCTAAAAAATTTATAATGATTAAAATAAAAAGGTATATTTTTTTAATTGTTAACAATAAGATTTTACAAACTAATTAAGATAAAAAAATTGTTACTACTAATTACGAATAAGAAAAATAAAAAAAACTAATAATAAGATACACAACTTTTTAAATATGAAAATATACAATCTAAAAATATGATATAAATATGCAATTTTTAAACTATTTTTATAATTATTAAAAATTTGTATTCGCAAAAAAGTGTAAAACAAAAAGTAAATATATATGCCATCTTTTAATAATAAATTCACTATAGTAAGAAAGTAAAAATAAAATCCAATTGATTTTTTTTCTGTGGTTTTAAGCAATATAAATAACTTTAAAAAGACACAAATAACGGTTGTGATGGAAAAACGCAACCATTTATAACGACGCAACCATAAATTTTGAAATGACACAACTTTTTAAAGCGCAAGTGACATTTATTTGGATTATTATTATAGATATAGTGGTTTTTTATGTGATTTGAATTATAAAAATAGTTCGAATAGATCCAAATTATCTCTGATGAAAAAAATGCAACCATTAATAATGAAAAAAATACAATCATTTATAATGAAAAAATATAACTATTTATATTGAAAGTATGCACCCACAAATTTTGAAACCACACAACTTATCAAAATGGAAATAGTCTTTCTAAACACAACCCTTGAATTATTAGATTTGATGTTATAAAAAAGAATGTTGACCTTAAAAACTTTCATTATTTCACAGTTTATTGTAATAATAAATCCACTATAGTAAGAAAATAAAAGTTAGACCTAAATAATTTTTTTTCTTTTGTTTTGAACAATATAAATAGTTTTGATAAGACACAAATAACAGTTGTGATGAAAAAACGTATCTATTTATAATGAAAAGAAGCAACCATTTATAATGAAAAGAAGCAACCATATATAATGAAAAGGCGCAACCACAAATTTTGAAACGGCAAAACCTTGTAAGAGTAAGTGGCATTTATTCAGATATTTATGTTTTGCAAGTAGCATTTATTCGGATAGTTTCCAGTTTTGTCACCGGTCACCATTATAGTAAAAAAATAAAAATCAGACCAAAATAATTATTATAGATAGATAAAACATACATTAAAAAGATTAAGAGAAAATGTTTGGCTTAGTAGAAAGACAACACAATCCTTGAATTGTTAGATTTTATTACATATAAAATAATGGTGACATAAAAAAGTTTCATTATTTCACAGCTTATTGTAATAATAAACCCATTATAATAAGAAAATAAAAGTTAAACCTAATAAACCTATTATAGTAAAAAAGTTAAAATTAGACTGAATTATTAGATTTTATTTCATATAATAGAATGCTGACATAAAAAACTTTTATTATTTCACAGTTTATTGTAATTATAAACCCATTATAGTAAGAAAATAAAAGTTAAACCTAATAAACCTATTATAGTAAAAAAGTAAAAGTTAGACTCAAATAATTTTTTTATGTGGTTTTAGACAATATAAATAATTTTGAAAAGACACAAATTATAGTTAATGAAAGGACACAACCATTGGTAATGAAAAGACGCAACTACAAATTTTGAAAAAATACAACTTTTCGATGTGCAATTGGCATTTATTCAGATTGTTATTATATATGGATAAAGTTGTCTCCTTAGTCCTTACACATTTTTTTTAGTCCTTACACATTTTTTTTTATTAAGGCAAGTTCTTTGCAAAATTTACACATTGACCGTTATATACTTGAACCAAACCGAACTCAACCGAGATTGCAATAGGTTAACCTGAGCCAGCACAAAACCAAACCGAACCCAACCGAGATTGCTTAATTCGAAACCGAATCGAGAGTGTATACCGGAATGGTAACCCCCAAGATTTTGATGAAGTTAATGTTTGTAACTAAACCGAACCGACCGGGAAACCACATCAGGAATGACCCGTTCATGAAGTTTCGGGCCCAAAATGTGTGTACTCACTCTATGTCACACTTGTAATAAATAGTCTTCGATGTTTATATAAGTCTACAAAATTGGTTCATCCGATGCCAGAAAAATTAACCGGAAACTCTGGGAAGAGATGTTTAGATTTGTTTATATGGAATCTTATTATTAACAAAGGGGAGATGCTATAAGATTGCCTGCGACACACGGTAACTCGGAACATTTTAAGGTTAGATCAGCAAGTAAAGAACTTTTCAAGAAACAACTTTACACAAATCATATTAAAAACATAACAAACGCCAAACTTCATCCATGTTTCTGAAACATTATCAAATTCTCCACCAAAGAAAAATCTCACGATTTTATATCATACCAATGACCTCTATAGTCAATGTTATGATCAGTCCAATGGTTACTACAAATCTCGTTACCAAATTCAAAACTCCACGTCTCAAACCTGATCTGCCTTCTCTACAACATTCCGGGTACAATGCAATCAAGAATGATCCAAGAAAAAGAATGATGAACAAGTATGCTTCTTCAAGGAGAAAGATTGTGGTTTCATGTTTAGATCGACCTAATTCTAGTCCGAAACAATTCTCCGGATACGATGCTGTTATGAAATTTTATTCGTCTATTAACGAGAAGAATAAAGATCGATTGAGTAGTTGCATCTCTAAAGATTGCTTCATAGATGATTTCTCCTTCGCTAAACCTTTACGGGGGAAAAACGTAAGAATTTTTCTATGGAAGAGCTCTCCTTTGGTTTTGTTATTTCAAACTTACATATCAAGATTTGGTTTTGTTATTTTGAATTAAGAACTATGACTGTAAATATTTGTTTTTCAGGAAGCGATGAAGTTCTTTGAAGAACTGGTGAAGAGTATGGGACAAAACGTAAAATTTTGTGTTGAAAATGTGTGTGAAGGAGATGGATATACTGTTGCTGTTAATTGGCATCTTGGTACGTACGTTTAGTACATCATTAAAGCCTAATTACACTTAATTAACTAATTATCGTTATTAGAGGTAAAACTTTCATTTTTTTCCTTCTTTTTTTATGTTGTTGTGAAGAATGGAAAGGACGAAAAATCCCCTTTACAAGAGGATGTAGCTTCTATGAATTTACAGAAGAAGGGGGGAAATTGGTTATAAGGTAAATGGTTTTTTTTTTGGTATCTTAGAAATTAGAATTATATTTTTAGTGAAATATTTTAGCAACTTTATTCAAGAGAAAGTTCCATTTCAAAACCAATAAGATAATATTCTCATACACAATTTGACAAATTATTTTCAGAACGGCAAGGATTTTGATTGAGTCTCCAATTAAACCGGGAGGAATCGCATTGGTAAAATATTTATTCACAGTTTTAATAGAAAACATGAATGAGAATTAATATCAATTTTGATTAAAAAACAATTCCTACAATTAGTTTTGATAATATTTTGTTATCACCAACCATTTTCAGACTCTGTTAAAGAACATAACGTTTTTGTTCGACGAATTCCCTCAAGTCGCTGAATGTAAGTTTTCAGTTTTTCCTTATTTATTATAATATATGTACTTATAAACTTGAAATGTTTTCTTAAAATTGTTTTTGAATGTTTCAGGGTTTTTAGCGAAGCCTTATGCTATCATTCAATTAATATTAAGAATGTATGGTCTGTTTTTGGCGCCACTTGTAGGCCAAATATTGACAAGCTATGTGAAGCTATTAAACAATACGGCCGAGTTCTTCTTATTGGTCTTGAAAATAATCATTAAAATTCGAAGTCTCTTCATTAAATAGAAGAAATGAGGATCACAAGGTTTTTTAAATCTTTGTTTTTCCTTAGACTAGTTATATTTTACTATTGTGAGTAACAATCTTTTGATATATTGGTTGTTTCGAGCGAATTTCCGAACCTCTTTTGTTCCAATACTCAGAGGGTTTAAGAACAGACACAACATAAATTCACGACGATTTTCAATCTTATTTCCTCACGCATGCTCATCTCTTGGTATGGAGAACTTTGATTTGGTCTGAGTTTGATATAATTAAAAGTTGCAAAAATTGATCCATTCCAGGCAAGGAAACTAATTGGGAAGCTAAGATTTCTTGCATCACAATTCACAATTCAAGAACACACGCAAACAAAATAAAAATTCTTTAAAAAAATGATCGATGCAACAAAATGAACATTAGCGGGCACTTTACCTTCGTTCTCAAGCTTCACTTTTGAATGGTTTCCCTCCACTTTTAGAATATTTGGCTTTACAAGTAATTGTGTTTTGTTAAAGCTTTACAAGTAATTAACAAAAGTTTATGGTATTTAGCTATTAAGCTATATAAATAACGTCGATTTTTATTGTTTTTGTTACCGACGACAAAAATTACACTCAGATCATATACATAGATATTCAAGAAATACTTTTATTGGGGAGGAAAATTTATATTAAAAATAATAATTTCTGTTTTACTATAAAAAAAATTACTATGCCATTGTAGTATTTTGTATTGACAAGTGTATGGATCGTAGTGGAAATTATGTGTACTAGCAGAACTTTGGAGAGGAATAACTACTGTTATTTTTTCTTTTATTTCTTATAGAGGTTGTTAGCCAATACTATTAATTTTGGTGTTTTTGGTTAAACTTTTCTTAACGATTTTTTTTGGCGAAATAATAAAGAGTTTGCACAATAAAGAAGGTAAAACTATATATAAATGAACAAGGCTTTTCTGAGATCGAACTGAGAGAAAAACAAAAATCAAATTTTTTTAATATGTAAGCTTCTCAGAAAGTCAATAGTTCAAACTTCAAAACTGTTTCAGAAGCATTGAGTTTTGTCATGCATTATGCAAATTGGTGATTAAACCAATAGATTTTCTCCACACGCATTAAAATTAGATTAAATATAGAAAAAGAAAAATAGATTTAAAGATTCAATAGCGAATAAAACTTATCTTAGTTAAAATTAATTTATTTGATGTATTTTTTTAATACATGGTGCATATATCTATTTATATCAACGAAATTGTTAGCCATAATTTTTTTTATTAGTACAACTTTTTTATAACAAGTAACAATATTTTTTTTGAAAATATCTGATACGAACATTGTATCAATTAAAAGTAATAATTTTTTTGACATCAGTTAGAAATATTTAAATAATTTATTTTAACTGATATAAAAATGAACATCATTTTCTACAAAATAATATAAAAATATTTTGGAAAGTCAAATTTTTATTCATTTCTAACCAATAACAATCATGATGTATTGATACGACTGCGTTTCGTGATCAATCTTTTCTATATCCACGAAAGTAGATTTGAGATGTCTAGCCCTGATAATATTGGGCCTTGCAAAGAACTGGGCCGATGCCCATTTTAGTTTGGAGACCAGAGAGACGACTATTGGTAGCAAAAAATCACACACACCACACTCTTAGTCTCTTACTCTTCATCGTGCAAAAACCCTACCTAGAGAGATTTTCTCGTTTTTGCCTCGTCGTTGAAGCAGGTTTCCTCGTTTTCGGTTCTAGAATCTCCGGAGCTTCCGTTTCAAGGTAAATTTCTAGGTTATGAAGCGGATTTATAGAATAATTTGGTAGCTTCGGCTTCTCGGCTTGATTTGCAGGACTTAGGTCGCTTGGTTCTTCCTTCCATCAGCTATTGTTTAAGCTTTGGTTTACTAGTGTTAGATCTCGAAGTTAGTTTTTGCTTTGTAGTTGATGCTTTTCACGGGTGAAATTACAAGTTACTGGGTTCTCTTCTCTGATTTATTTAGTTCACTTTGATTTTGCTTTTTCAAATTGTTTGTGCCTCGTTGAGGTTTTGGTGATTATTTGCAATTGCTCAATTCCATCATCGTTTGATTTGGCTCCGCTGTTTGTTTTGACGATTGGCACTTACGGGGTTTTGGATGTCTTTGATTTTCTTCTCTTGTTCCTTAGATTGTATCAGTTCATCTTCTTATCCTAATCTTTTTCTTTTAGACAATGGCTTTGACTGTTGGAGCAGTCGAAATGGTTTTGTCTGGAGAAGTGACAAGTGAGAAAGACATGAATATGAATCCAGTGCTACAGGTGAAGAAGGTGTCTCTGGTTTCTATTAATGATGTTGACGAGCCGAGGTACATTGTGGTGGTATCTGATGGAAGGCAATCAGTAAAGGCAGTGCTGGCCAAGACTCTCATAGGCTTTGTCAAAGAAAACTTCATCAAAGTTGGTTCTTGTGTTCGCCTAACTCAATTTGGTTCGCAAATGCACAGGGAGAGAAGGTACATCCCACAAAGCTTAAGCTGTTACATCTCACTGAAATTTCTCATTAAAGTTTTTTTGTGTCTTCACAGGTTTTTGTATGTGGTTCAACTTGAGGTCATTCATGATTTGCCCACTTTGGATGACGCGATGTCGATTGAGTCAGGGGAACTCATGTCGAGTGTTCCTGAATCACCACCTGATTCACCAGAGGAAGGTGAAATTTTGCAGAATGCTATTTCCAAGAATGATGCTTCAGCAGAAATGAAGACCTTTCGCGAGGCGCTAGGAGATGCTAAACGTTTCATCCACCACACGGTAATTTACGCGTGCTACACCCTTTGTTATCGAAACAAATTTTTAACATTATATTTGTGTTCTTGTAGAAATACTCAAAAGATGAGATCCGGGCCACAATCAGGGTTCTTAACCGGCAGATAGATAAATTGAACAGATGCTGGGATGACTTCAGTGGTGTTCATGAGGGATTGAATGGGATTCACAAAGCGGAACGCCCTCAATCTGACGACTCGGAGGAGCTAAGCTGTGATCAGCTCCGGGTGATTGCCCATTCACTGCTCAAGTTTCTGGAGAAGAACACTCTCAAGGCCTTTGCGACTGCGTTTTCTCCGTATGTCAACAGCGTGGTCCCATCTGAAGAATCTATCAGAGCTCTCCAAGCCGCCCAAGCTGTTCTGCTTGATGGTGGTACCTCGGTTTACTCCGTCTTACACGGAGGTTGGGACTGCAAAGAACACTCGGAGGATGAAGATGAAGTGTTTGAGTGGTAGTATCAAGTGAAGTAGCTCCCACGGTTATGTTTTCTATGTCTTTTGACTCTTCGGATTTCTCAAACTCTCGAAATTAGTTGTCATAGGCACTTAGGTTGAAATATTGGTTCAGCAATGTTAGATGAACCATGACAACATTTAAAGTAACTACTGCAAAATGTAATTCAGTGATAACCTCTGGTTCTTTTTAACTATAAACCGTGACATGCGTGACTTGATAAATGTTGGAAAACTAATTTCGTTATGACGAGGGTGTAAATAATTAATCACTAGATAATAATAGCCAGGTAATCACTAAATGAATGCATAATCTAGTGGAATATATTTAAGGTTTTTAATCGAATGTGACGAATAAACATTCAGCTATTCCTCCAACACTAGTTATAGACCCTTTATGAATGTAAAGTCGAGAATTGCAATAGAAGTGGACCAAACATCACAGTAGCTGCAATAAAACATAGATAAGGCTGTGCAAGAAACCAAATTACATCATATCTCAATTACAAAGCGACATAATCCTTGATGCAAGAAAGCAACTGAAACAAGAAACGCATGAAAAGTTTATTGATAAAGATGGAGAGATGTGCGCAACGAAGCAAGCAAGCAAAGCATGATGATATGATTCTGATCAAATTCTCAAACTTTGCAAGCCATCCTTCACTTCCGCTTCAGCTGTCACTGCTTGAGATGGCTTCGGCTTCGCAAAACACATACGCATCACATTATAGTACTGCATCTCCGCCAAAAGCTCAGGTTTACCTCTCACAAATTTCTTATTGCCGAACTCCCATTGCCCATCAGACTCCTTAATTTCCTCAAAGCCCTATTATATACAAAACATACATGTGTAGTCAAAAAATGCACACTCGGAGATATCGATATATATCTATAAAGCAAACCACAAAAAAAAAAAAAAAAACTTACATTAAACTTAAGCTTGGAGATAAACTCTGTCAACGAGTTGCAACAGAATATCCAAAGCATCTTTCTGCGAACAAGCTCGTCCTGATTCCAAATGACGAAGCTGTTGTTGCTTTTGCTCCATGAGATGATTGAATCCGTCGAAGGATCATCCACCAGCTTATATATACGCCGGTGAAATACGTAATGTGACTTTGGGTAAAGGCTAAAATCAATATCCAACCTGCTACGAAACCTGTCAGGAAACCTCCTGTTCATCTAAAATCACCAGCAAGAGAACGTCAGAACAAACAGCGGAGGCAAATCGAAAACGATTCACTGCTGCAAATAACCACTATCAAAACCTCAGCCAATTTGAAAAAGGCAAGAATCAAAGAACGCAGCAACTTGTAATTTCAGCATCCATTGATCTAGATCTAACACTACGCAACCTATATTCTTCAATTCAAGCGGAGAGATCGACGCTACCAAGTCAATTAATTCGAGAATTTTACCTCCATCCCGAGATTCTGAAACCGAAAGAGGAGAAATTAGCTCTGATTTGTACGGTGAACAAAGTGTTTCGTTTATAAGCGCATATACAAGCTTCTCCGGTAAGCTTCGACCTCATTTTTTGGGCCTTCTCACTTGTTTTATAATGGGCTTGGGCTTTACGAAAATGTACACCCAGGGTAACAATAACGCACCTCTTCTGTTGCAATATCACCAGGAGGATGCTTGGATTCCACGGAATCGGGAATAAACCTGAATTTGAAACAAAACTGATCGTACAAGAAACCTGCAGTAGCACTTGAATCACATTCAGCAACAGCACTAGATATTTTTGTTTTGAAGCCCCCATTGCTCTCATTTATGAGATTTTCTTTATTAAAAAACAAGCAGCTAAGAAGGTAATTCGGTTGCTAAATCCCTTAAAACAATTACAGGGAGGGAAAATGGTTTTAAAAAGCTAGCTTTTTCAATTTAATTATATACTCATACTGTACTGTTTTTAGAAATCGTTTGCTCACTAAACTAAGAATCTCACTACCAAATTCAAAAATCTTTACGTTAATAATTGCTGGCTGTCATAATACGCATAATTTTAACCATCTCAAGCGACCAAAACAGGCTATATTCAAAAACAGGGGCTAAAATTAGTAAACCCTAATTCCCTAATTCATGGTCGTGATTAGCTAACTTCATATAATCGATATATAAATATATAATCGTGATCATCATCATCAGGCCACTATATCAAACATAGTCGAAACTAATCCAAAGCAAACATCAAACCGTAATTGTCATTGAAATATTAGTGGTGATTATTTTAGGGTTATCTACCAACAAAGTCATACCCAATTACCCATGGCAAGCGATTCTATTATTACGGATATTCGGATAATAATAAACCCAAAAATTTCCTTTAGGCCAAGTTCTTTTCTGATTGATTTTGGTTTCGAAGCCCAAACTATAAACCAAGCCCATTTGAAAAGAAAAGTGAAAGATTGGGAATCATCTCCCTCGCGTCTCAGTTTCTTCAGCTTGGAAGAAGAAATTGCAGAGAGTTTATTGAAAGCTTTTTATCTGACCGTAAAACATAAGAGAATGAGAGCAGTGCGGAGCCACTTGAGTGTCATTTCCAATTGCAAACTTTCTCCGAGAATCAGCAGAGTCTCCGTAGCAAGCTTGACCTCAAATCGAAATCTATTATCAACCATGGTTTCTACTGAAGATCCAGAGCTCAGAGACTTTCTGGGTTTCTTAGAATCTCTCAAAAACTATGAGAAGTCTGGTGTGCCAAAAGGAGCTGGAACTGATTCCGGTGATGGGTTCGATCTCGGTAGGATGAAACGTCTCATGCTTCGTCTCCACAATCCTCACTTCAAATACAAGGTTCGTGCTTTTGCTAATTTGGCATTTTTTTCGTTTTAATTATTGGTGAGAATTAACAATTAGGGCAGTGATTAATTGAAATCGAAACGATTTGGAAGTTATGGAACTTGTTTATTTACAGGTAGAAGAACTAGGATCATCGGGATCTTTAAAGTTTGGATTTTTTCTGAGTTGTGCATATTTTCGTTCTGATGATTGGTTCATAGTTAGTGGTTTTTAAATGTGAGATTAACAATTAGGGCAGTTGTTAATGGGAATCGAAAAGAATTGAAATTGATTAAACTTGTTTATCGTCTTCAAGCTTCAAAGTTGGAATTTTTATGTGTTATGTCATCATTAGTGGGTTTTTAGAAGTGAAAGTAACAATTATGGCAGTGATTGTAGGTTGTTCATGTGGCTGGAACAAAGGGGAAAGGCTCAACTTCTGCTTTCCTCTCAAATATCTTACGAGCAGGAGGATATTCAGTTGGTTGCTATTCTAGGTAAATGTTGAGACTTTGGATTTAAGTATTTATATATCTTTGAGTTTGAATCTTTCGCATGGTTACTAACATGAGGCCTTTCTTCTGTGTAGCCCACATATTCTGAGTATTAAAGAACGCATTTCATGTAATGGAGATCCTGTCTCTGCATCTGCTCTTAATGATCTTTTCTATTCAATCAAACCCATCCTCGAGCAGTCTGTCCAAGAGGAAAATGGTTCTTTGAGTCATTTTGAGGTTACTAATCTTAATGATCTTCTCCTAAGGTTCTACCTTTACACAGTTTCATGTTTTCTTATATAGATACTTCTTTTTTCTGGCAGATTCTCACTGGGATAGCTTTTTCTTTATTTGAGAAAGAAAACGTCGACATTGCTGTTATAGAGGTTAGCAATTTTGCGAATCCTTAAAGACAAATTTAAAGAAACTCTGCTTTTGATATTGTCTTGGTTGAATAAATGCAATAGTTTGGTTCTATGTTTGGTTTGGTGTCATCAGGCTGGGCTAGGAGGAGCTCGAGACGCTACAAATGTCATTGAAAGTTCAAATCTTGCTGCATCAGTGATAACGACGATAGGTGAGGAACATATGGCTGCTCTTGGTGGTTCCTTGGAAAGTATAGCAGAGGCCAAATCTGGAATTATTAAGCACGATCGTCCAGTTAGGTGGTTTTTTTTATGTATTTTGCTTGTCTTATAAATCATCAGCTTATGAGCACATTAATATTGATTGAGTTTGATTTGTTGCTATAAAACTTGTAGGTGGTTTTAGGTGGCCCGTTTCTTACTCATATCGAAGGCATTCTTTGTTCTAAAGCAGCGTCAATGTCGTCGTCAGTTGTATTGGCATCTAATGTTGGTTCTGGTTCTTCAGTCAAAGGCATCATCAACAAAAATGGGATCGGGCTTTGTCAGTCCTGTGACATTGTAATACAAAATGAGAAAGATGATAAACCAGTAAGTTTCAAAGACTTTATATTCCTCTATTTAAAGCAAGAAACTCATTTGTGAATTCCTTATATATATCAACAAATAATAAACGCAGATTGTTGAGCTTGGTGATGTAAATCTACGCATGCTTGGACATCACCAGCTCCAAAATGCTGTCACCGCCACATGTGTGTCTCTCTGTCTTCGAGATCAAGGTATGATGATACATTTTAAATTTCTGTATTGTTTCATATAAATCATCAAAAGAAGTCAATGTTTACAGATTGCGTTTACTTCTTGATGGAATAATCAGGATGGGGGAGAGTTACTGATGAAGCTATACGTATTGGTTTAGAGAACACTCGTTTACTTGGTAGAAGTCAGTTTCTGACACCAAAAGAAGCAGAGGCTTTACAATTACCCGGAGCAACGGTGCTTCTTGATGGAGGTTTCTGATCTCTCTTTTCCATTTTTCTTGATAATGTAGCTTTAATCGTCTCTGTTTCGAAAATTGAGTCATTTGCAACTATGTGCGAGTTCTACTTTTCTTAAAACCATTGGTTTACGAATCTTTGGTCTGTTTTTCAGCTCACACCAAAGAATCTGCGCGAGCTCTTAAGGAGATGATAAAGAAGGATTTTGCAGAGAAGAGACTAGTGTTTGTGGTTGCAATGGCTAGTGACAAAGATCATGTCTCTTTTGCAAAAGAGCTTCTCTCAGGTCTAAATCCAGAAGCAGTGGTTCTAACAGAAGCTGACGTTGGTGGATCTAAGGTTAGGTCAACCGCGTGTTCTGTTTTGAAGGAATCATGGATAAAAGCTGCTGATGAGTTAGGTTTAGGGTTTTTGGAAGCTTCAGAAAACAAAACTGTGTTTGGTTCTCTAAAACTTGCTCATAAGATTCTCACCGATGACACAACCATTGACTCAGGAATGGTTGTAGTCACCGGTTCACTTCACATTGTATCCTCGGTCTTAGCTTCTCTTCAACATTAGATTTCGTGGACAACTGTTCAATTATGATTATTAATTATAAATGTAAGCCTCGTTTTGCAGTTCGATGTATCCTTGAGCTCAAGACTGGAATCTAGAGGTTTTGTAATGATTCTCTTTATTGGTATTATCGAGTTGCCAAAGAAAAAGTTAAAAGTTTATTTGCATTCCAAAGTAAACGGAGCTTAACATGGTTACAATTTTATATGACATAAATCACTAGACAATTCGCCATGGATTTTTGCAATTTGATGTGTACAAAACATCTCTGGTAATGATGTCTACAGGTACTTGACCATGGTGCGTCCGTCTGCACTAACTTTTATTGCACGCATGCTGCTCCTGTTCCTGAGCGCCTTTCGCTTCTTCAGTCTTTTTATTATGTCTTCATGGCTGTCTTTGACATTTTGCATCTGGATACGAGCTTCGAGTTTTCTGTCAAATTTCGACTCAGGACGGAACACAAAGTCCATTGATATCGTTGTTGGTACTTGCGCTCTTTCTACTCTTCTTCTACTAGCTGCTAGCTTGGGTTTTGTTTTCTCAGAGAAGTCAACATCTACCTCAAAATCTCTAGCTTTTGCTGTCTCGGACACCTTAAGAGCTTTCTTGTCTGTCTTGCTAAAAGCACTTGATGTTGCTCTTCACGTTCCTCCTGAGTAAACATCTCCTCATATCTTGTGCTCTTGTTGTAAATGATATGGCCCCATCTGTTGACTAAGTCATTAGCGAGTCTCTTGTTAAAAGTTGTTTCTTCATCTGATTTTGACAAGAACATTATGACCTTCCCGAGACCACTCTTGACCAACTGTTCCTTTCTACACTCTTGTTGATCTATCAAGTTACATAAATCGTTGAGAATCGTCAAGATAGCTCTGCGGATGTTTATGCTAGGTAAGCTGCCATCAGGGAGCGGCTCGAGCCAGTTCTTGAGAAGGTTAAGTAGTCCATGATCTAAGAACTCAGATTGAAGCTGTTTCTTTGAGAGAGCTCCATTGAGAAGAGGCAGCTTCATGAGCTTGTTAATGGCGGGTTTGCCTTCTTTGTTTAGCGCTAGGTCGTCTTCTACAGCAATCTCAAGAATCGCCATCACTCGCTCTACTTGCATCGCAATCTCCTCCGGTTTTTTCCCAAGCTTGCTCTTCTTGTTTCGTCTCCTGAACAATCTGATTATTAACTCATCGTCATCGTCATCGTCATCTTTCTTAGGACGATTTGCTACGAGATCACCGGAGTTGTTGTTGTTCGTAATTGAATCCCACATCTCTTTAATCTCTGTGGATTTTTTCTTCAAATCATCACGAACCGAGTCTTGTTTCTTCTTCTTGATCTCCTTCTCAAGACCAGGCTCATGTTTTTCCTTCCTCTGTCTCTTCTTCCCTGCTTTGTCGTTACAATTATTAGCCTTAGGTTCCACGAAATCATCAAGATTCTCTTGCAGACACATTTTTTTTTTTTTTACTTCTCTCTATCGTTTTTTTCTCTCAGATATCTGTGTTTGTTTAGTTGTATGTTTGATTCAACAATTTGCATAAGTGTGTGTGGGCACTCATTTATATAGATAGCCTCGTGAAGTCCAAGCTTTCCTTTTTTCTCAATTGTCAGAAAACGGTTGAAAAAAGGAAATTTTGTTTGTTGTAATCCAAAGGTTTCCTTTTTTTTCTTAGTTTTGAGAAAACAGAGGATCTTTCGGAAAACCCTAAATTAACCCTACTCAATTTCGACCCGACGGGTCACTTTTCTCGAATCTAATGGCTGCTGGTCTCATAGATGGCTACTTGCATCTGTAATTCGAAAGCCCTTCTCTTTCAATCCATTTGTTTCCACTCCACAAGAAGCACCAATCATGTAACCTCGAACTCTCTTCTTTTTGCAGATACCGATACGACACAGATTCTACAGTTGTCAGGTACTAAACGCTCTTTTCATCTCCAAAGTTTGTCTCTTTTGTTGTGGGTCGACTAAAAGATCGCTGAATTTTGGTGTTAGGAAGCGTAAAGTTCGTACCCATAAAGGAGTCTTGCAGGGCTGTTCGGTTCATTGACGATGGCCAAAGTTTGTTGCTTTTTGAACTTTAGAACAATTCTGAGCTCATTTTCGGACAATTGTAGGTTGTGTTTTACATTTGATGCTTTTCATGTGTTTTAGGAATCGTCACAGCTTCAGCAGATTGCTCCATTCTCGCTATCGATGTAGAGACTGGTGCTAGTGTTGTACGTCTTGAGAATGCTCACGAGTAATTCTATTTCCTCCTTTTTTTATTTCTGGTAGTTTTTTTGGTGATTGAGAATATTTCGCATTGGTCTTTTAGGGATGCTGTTAGTACTTTGATAACTGTTACGGAGAGAGACAACAATCGCTTCAGGGGATGATAAAAGCTGCGTTAAGGTCTGTACAAAGATTTTCCCTTTTCGTCTTTAATCATTGAGAAATTGTAAAGCAACTATAATACAACTTTCTCTGCTGAGATCTCTTCAATTTTTGTGAATGGAGAATTGGAATCGGTGTTCCTTGTATTTCCAGATGTATGTGTTATCTTTTGCTTCATAAACTGAACATAAAGAAAGACTGGAAATGCTCTGTATCACGCATGCTAGATATCGTTTTTGATCATGGTACATCTTTGATCATTTTGAAAGTTTTGTAAACAAAGCTTTGATTTTTGATCCATTTAGACTAACATCTATTTTGGTATCTGTCTCTGCAGACACATTGTAAAGCAAAACCCCAAGCTTAACTTCCACAAGTAGATGATGCGTGCTCTTGAGGATGATTTCAAACAAGTCGTTGGTATTAGTTGGCATCTTTGGATATTTGTCGTCATCTTCTTGCTGCAGAATGTTAATGGTATGCCTCACGAAACTTGACGCTTTCTTTGTGTTCAGTTTCGATCTAAATGATAAAAAGAAAGAAACTCAGTGATCCTTTTCAGTCGAGTTTAATGCACATGAGGATTACATTTCTGACATGACCTTGCATCTGATTCAATGAAGCTAGTGGCAACAAGGTTTGAATTTGTGTAGTCATTTGATTCAGTGAAGCTTGGTGTCTTATGAGTTTTCATACAAGACGAACTACTCTCTGTAGTTATGATGAAGGCAACCAAAATATGTCATCTCAAGCTCTTGTGTCTCCACATTGTTGCTACTTATCTAATGTTATCTGTGGAACTCAGAATGGTATTCTCATGTTTGTATGACTTCTGTTCCAAACAATCTTATTGACTTTCATTATCTGAACAATTGTGTCATTTGCAACTATGTGCGTATTCTACTTTGCTTGAAACCATTGGTTTACGAATCTTTGGCCTGTTTCTCTTCAACATTATTAGATTTCGTTCTTTCTCTTTTATTTGTTACACTTTTGATTCTCTTGTAACTGTTCAGTTTCTTTGTCACACCAAAATTAAAATAAAAAAAAGATACACTACATTTTGGTTCTTGTGGACAAAAAACCGAACCGACCTGAAAGGAATTGAAGTAACTCAAACCAAACCGAACATTATTTAAAACTGACAAAAACCAAAACCATTAATCTATCGTGGGCGTACGTGACTGTAGTAATTATCATCTTTGCCGTTTAAATGCCTTGTAGTGGGGTGGCGCAGTAAACAATCTTACTGCGACAGATGTCATCTATACAATAAATATGGGGTTTAAACATTATTAAAAAAAGTTAATTTTAAATTTAACATGATCTAAACGAACCGACGTTTCCTGATAACAAAAGAAAAAAAAACAATTTAAAGAGAAAATTAAGTTTTTTTTGGTGCCATTGAGTGGGAGAATCCAATCGACGGTGGTTTTAGAGTTGCCGGTTCCGAGCAGAATACATGGCGAAACGCGGTGTGGAAGAGAAGAACTCAAGCTCCAAGAGAAGAACCAGCTTAAGCGATTTACCGGATTCACTTCTCTGTCACATACTCTCGTTTCTCTCAACCGAAGAATCCGTTCGGAGTAGTGTTTTAGCGCAAAGATGGAGAAACATCTGGTTAAAGGTTCCTGCTTTCAACTTGGACTCGACCCAATTCGGAGAAGTTTTGGATTTTGTGAAGTTCGTGGATACATTTCTGGAATCTGAAAAGGAGCTGGACTTGAAGAGATTCAGGTTAGTCTATCATCATGATGAGGAACTTTTACTTGATGAAGATTTTGATGAAGATGATAACTTTTTAGACTCTTGGATGGATAAATTGGTTGAGCGTAGAGTTAGTCATCTGGATGTTGAGCTTATATCCGAGTTTAACGAAAGGCTTTGTATGCCCATGTCCCTCTATTCCTGCAACAATTTGGTCAAGTTAAATCTCTACAACCTGATGTTGGATATTCCCGAATCCGAATCTGCTGTTTCCATGCCTTGTGTCAAGAGTATGCATCTAAATCAGGTAGGGTATGAGGGATTAGTCCTGCAGAGGCTCATACCTAGCTACCCTGTTATTGAGAAGTTATCAATAATCAGAGGTCCTATGGAGCTTTCTGATCTTACATGTGTGCGCTCACAATCCCTTAAAAGATTCACCTTGGAGGTTCAACGTGAGGAGCATAAGGTTGTTGATGACCATGTTGTTGAGATCGATGCTCCAAAGCTCGAGTTTTTGAGTCTCCAGGATCACTCATCTGAAACCTACATCATACACTGTATTGGTAGCTCTGCTGTGGTGCAAATTGATGTGAACTTTGATTTGAAGCCTGGTTCTTCATTGTGTTCTTCCGAGAGAAGCATGGTCCATAAATTCCTGAGGGCTTTATCTGAAGTCAAAGACATGGAGATCTCTTATGCTACTCTAGAGGTACACACATATGGTTGATTCAATGACATTGTCTGTTTTTAATATTTGCATGATTGTGATATTTATTTGTTACCATTTGATTGCCATATAGGTGATCCATGGTTTCTCCAAATTGGAAGCGTTACCTCAGTTTTATAACTTGACTTGGTTAAAGGCTTCGTTCAATGAATCTCTTTGGGAATTGCTGCCAACATTTCTTGGATGTTGCCCGAATCTACACACACTCGTTTTGGTGCGTCTTATACTCTTATTTGCTTATTTCTCATGTACGTTTAATTCATCATATCACATAAAACTTGAGTATCTCTTTATTTGGGTATATATAATCAGGAATATGAATCCCTTACGGAGGCAGAGCCAATGAAACTCTCTTATGTACCGCCATGTTTCGTATCATCTCTCAAGTTTGTGGAGCTTTTGACACCAGTCACAGGGACATCAAGCCAGATATTAGCTAGATGCTTCCTGACGAATTGCTCAGTCCTCCAGGAATTGACTTTAAGCAAGAGCTTCAGTAACATGATCAAACAAATCAAGAAGATTCCAAAAAGGTCTACAAGGTGCAAGATTGTAATCGACTAAGCCACATCATGTATAAGTGATCTACTTAGTAGATGAATTAAAGCATAAATCTAGTTTAAGACTTTTTCAACTTTTTGTTTTTTTTTGTGGGCGTGGCTTAAGTGTCCAAGTTTGGACCTTGATGTTTCTTATCAAGTAATTTTTTTTGGTTTTTTTTTTTGTTTACGGTATAAAATGTTACGATAATTATAAGGAAATTTGCCTTCTGTTTACGAGTTTGATTATAATGTTCGAGCGAAAACAAAAATTGTATTGGATACGGCTGGGCATGAGTATCTATAACTCGATGATAAGTTGACAACCTTCAATCATATTTTATATAATTGATTTGGTATGTTAGGAATTCCATATATTCCAGAGATTCGAATTAATAAATCCATTACTCAAATCTGGCTTGGATCCTGAATTGTCGAGTTTAGCTCTCTGAGTTGTGCAACGATTATAAAACTCTTAAAAGTGATTCGTGGTTTGTGATCATTAACCGGAGCTTGGAACCCTCCGGGCCAGTCAGAGACTTTCCATTAGGCAAGCGCGAGAGAGTTGTGTTATTAGTTTCGTTTATCCCACATCGGTTGTGTGGAGAGACGCGTGATAACGAGTGGAACTATAAAAGAAGAAGAGGTGTGTTGATAATAAAATATGATCCTTCAGGCAAGTAAAGGGGAAATGAGGAATGGGTTTAATCTCGCTATATTTGCGTGAAGAGCGTTCCGCTCAAAGCCTGTTACGACAATTGGGCGCTCCAATTATCATTTAATCTGATCCCTCTCTTGTTTAAAGTTTTTTTATCCACTATTTTAAAATAATAATTATTTTAAATAAAATTTAACAAATATTTTTTTTTATAAAAATTTAAGAAAACTAAAATAGTTATAATTATTATTTCTTAATTTTCTTTTTCTTTTATGTACTTGATTTTATCGTCTTGTTACACCTTTTTAATTACCAGGATTTGAAGTCTTGTGAAATAGATTAATTTGTAACACATTGATGTTTGGTAGAATGTGTTTTTGTGTCTATTTTCTTAATAAAAACAATAATACCAAACATCTTATCGAATTATTCCTCTTGACCCGTAAAGCGTAAACAAGATGAAATAATTATGAAATATATACAATGCATCTCATTTGCTTTAGAAATACAAAATTTCAGCTGTTCAAGTCATTATAAATTAATATAACAAAATGATATTCATAACAATTTCGGTTTAGCATTATTCAATATAATCGTGAGGCCAAAAATAGATCCCCTTAAGAATCAAAACTTAATTTCGACTCGATTTGGACCAGTAACAAATTAAAATTATATTAGTTTGAAAATATTATAATTTTTAGTACATATTCTTAAAGTACGAGTCTGTTTACTTAATAAACGAAGCTATTGATTCTTCATGAATTTATCCCACACATAAAATGTGTGATTTCTGGATAAATAACCAAAATTTAAAGTTCTAAACTCAAATCAAAGAGGGCAGAGAGTGAGTGAAAATCCTTTGAACGATCAACATCCCTTAAAAAAAACCCTCTAACAATCATATTGAGGAAAAAAACAAAGTTCCGAAAGACATTCGTTCTCAAATCAATTGTACTATTTAACTTAAATCAGATCAAAATGAAACAAGAAAGGTTTATATTAACCCTTTCAAGGAAGATCAGATCCAGCAGCTGGACCAGCACCACCACCGTAGCCACCAGCTCCACGACCAAACGGCCTAGCTCCACCAGCTCCAGGAGCCTATAAAACACTCAAAAGATTTAGTCACACACCAACATAAAAAATGATCAACACAATCAAAAGATATGAATTTAATGCAGCCAATTTCGCAATCACGAAGCCAAAGTCATCAAAGATTAACACATGATAGCAACGAGTAAACTACTCAACGAGTACACAAAATGATTCTAAGACTTAGTGGCAGAGTATAGAATATCTATGGAACCTATGAGAATGATTCTAAGCAAGACTTAGTGGCAGAGTATAGAATATCTAAGGAACCTACAAGAAAGAAAACCTAAAAGGTTGATGAGATACAGTGACTTGAGAAGTTTCAGTATCAACACTTTGACAAGATGACTCAAAAGCACAGAGTAATCCACTATAGGACCCAATTCATAGAGAGAGAGAGAAAAAAGAGTGACTGTGTACCCTGAAGGAAGGGTTGTAATCAGCAGGAGCTCCACTCTTGTCACCAAACTCTCCACCTGATCTTGGTCCTCCACGGTATCCATCTTTGTCACCAAACCTCCTCTCTCCCTCAAAACGAGGGCCACTGTGAAAACGAATCAAAAACAGTGTCACATATATATATCACTTCACAAGAAACTCTTATGAAAGCATAGATAGACACACAAACACTCATATCCAAGCGCAAATGGTCACGATGATGAAATCAAAGGATGACACATTTAGAGATTCGAGGTAATTACCGACGGTCACCAGGTGGGCCTCCCATGGGTCGGCCAAGAGGCTTCTGTGACTTCTTCAAAGTGGCGGGAACGATCTCAGATGGGAGATTGAGGTAAGTCCTGAGAAAGTCAATGCCTTCGTTTGTGAGGAACCAGTAGTAATGCATCCAAGCGAATGTCTCACGCACGTATTCCTTTGATTTGAAGCTCTGCATCAACTTGATGACTTGCAGATTCGGAACACCTTCGACCAAAGGGTGCTGCGCCAAATTGAAATCCTTCTTCGCGAAGAGAACTCCCTCTGCACAAAACAAATGAATCAATCAATGCCATCGTCTTCGATGCATAAACCCTTTTTCACGATGAAGACCAACGAGATTCAAAGCAGAAGGAAGCTCGAAAGAAGATGTTTTTACCTTTGAAGAGGTACTTGGAGATCTCGCGGCGATTCTTCTCTGATATGATCTGCAAGTACGACGAAACATCAGCTTTTACAGTTTCGAGTTTACACAGCATTACGAAATGAGGTTTTCCATTAACGTGACCAGTGATTGAGGATAGAGGTTTACCATGATTGTGATGAGATTGATGGAGGAGGCGACGGAGAAGGGCTCTCGGTTTCTAAGTGACGGCTTTCTCTCCTTCTCCTATCGCGAAACCCTAATTTCGTCGAAAGCCGCAAGTTTTATAACATGTTTGTTGTAAGGGTTTATGCATTCCGAATTGGGCCTGAGATTATTTAAAAAAACTATTAATGGGCCAACTAGAAGAAGAAGCTGACCCAATAAGCAAATCTTCTCCATAATACGGTCACGTTTAGCTGTAGAAGGTCGTCATAACATTTTCTGGTTGAGCAAGTAGTTTAGTGAGTAACTCCATCAAGTGTTCGTTAAAAAATGTATCACCAATAGAGTATAAATTAATAATATTGAAATTTTGATTTTATATTAATTTATAATTTTTTTTGTTTCGAATAAAATAAATTATAAATAAATAATTAATTAAAAACAATATTTTCTTTAAAGTTTATAATATTTTTTAAAAGTTCATTTAAAAACTATAGATAAATTGTAACAATAAATTAATTTTAATAAATAGAAATACCACTATATTCATATTTTAGTATATAAAATTTTATTTAGTTTATGATATAAATGAGATTTATATTTATATTTTGTTTTTTTTATCAAAAAGGCTAATTTATATTGGTTTCTTTAAAAAATATTATCTTATTAATTTATCGATTTATGTTATATTTTGAACCGTTCCAATTTGAAACTGGATAAATTTATTAACTTATAAAATTTATTAATTTATTCAATATTAATTTTATAGAGTTTTCACTATACTTTTAAGTTTTAACCAAGTTACTATATCCACGGTACTTTCCCGGTGATCACTTTCTAAAGGCCACAACTAAGAATTATCAATCCTATGGATGGTCATCCCTCCTTAATGGCATAAATGTCATTCAACAAGGTTCTCGACACATAGTTGGTAATGGTGAAACCATAAAAGTTTTTCATGACAATTGGCTTCCAACTCACCCTCCAAGGCCACCTCAACTTATCTCCCATAAATCTGACATGGTAGTGTCAGACCTTATACATACCCTAGGTACCCAAAAATAATGGAATGATACTATCCTCCATTATATAGCATCCGACCAAGACGTGGCGTTGATAAAATCATTATATCTAAGTATGTTAAGATCAGTTACATTGGAATTACACCTGGAATGGTTAGTACACGGTTAAATCAGGTTATTGGTTTTTACGACATAACCAACAGATGCTGCACGCTTCAATGCCGACACCTCCTCATGGGGATCCAGTCCTCAAACGCAAGATATGGAAACTCAACATAATGCCTAAGTTAAAACACTTCCTCTGGCGAATACTATCTAAAGCATTGGGAACTGCAACACATTTACAAATCCGCGGGATAGCTATTGATGATGTTTGTACACGATGCAACTCACACTCTGAATCCATCCATCATTTACTATTCACTTGCCCGGTCTCCACTTCAATATGGAGACTAGCTCAAACACCTTTTAACATTCTAAACTCTCCATCTCATGATACCGAATCTATCATACGTTTACTTCTTGAGAACCAAGATAATAACCTTCTCTCAGATATAGATAAACTTTTACCCTTTTGGCTCCTATGGCATATTTGGAAATTACGGAACTCACATTTCCAGAAGAAGAGAATCAACCCAACTTCTACGGTTCTGAAAGCACGCAATGCTGTCACTGAATGGCTACAAGCTACTTCCTCCCCCATCACAACTTCCCACCCAACTCTAATTCAACGAAGCTGGAAACGACCTCTCAATGGTGCTACTAAATGCAACTATGATGCGACCTTTCACCCGATTACTCAACTGAGCTCTGCAGGCTGGATAGTACGAAATTCCCAAGGTGATTGCACCTTTTGGGGGTCTGCTCAATTGGGCAAATGTTCATCAGCTTTAGAGGCCGAAGGGAAAACTTTATTAATGGCATTGAAACATTGTTGGTCTTTACGATATACAGATATAACTTTTGAAGGCGACTGTCAAATACTTATTAAACTACTACAACATCAAGATCAAGACCTCTCTAGTTCCAATATTTTAGTCGATATTAGGTTTTGGTTTGCAAAGTTTCATAACTATAAGTTATATTTTGCCAATAGGACTTGTAATAATGCGGCTCATCAATTAGCGAAGTTGGCTATCCAACAAAATTGTAGAAATGTTGGTTCTACTATTCCACCAGCTTCGCTACTTCATACTTTGTATTCTGATTCAATCAGTTCAATATAAATATCATATGATTTCGACAAAAAAAAAAAAAAACCAAGTTACTATATCCAAAAAATTACAGTTACTAAATTTTTCTAGATCAAATCATCAAAACGGATAATAGATGGAATTAGCGGAAAGTACACATAATTTTCCCAATCCTACAAAGTAGACATTTGATGAATAGACAATTTGAAAGTAATACAAGAGAGATCAGTATATAATCATTTATTGAAATTCTTGCGTAAAAAACTATGGAAAAACAAGATAATATAACAACAGCAAAAACATACCAAACGCAAACACCTTCACCATCATCGTCGCGTTGGAACCATATTGGCGGTTTATGTATTCTTTGTCGTCGTCATCAACGTCATCACTATCTGTGTGGTCATCGTTGCTGCCTCCAGTATCAAAGTAATCCACTTCGCTGCCGCTACTACTCTCTGTTTCCTCTCTCAAGATCTGTACACCGCACGCAAGAATCTTGAGGTTATCCATGCAGCTGAACTCAAACAGAATCTCGCTCGCAATCACATCCACTTTAGGTGTTTCTTGAACCAAGTTACCACCACATATGAACAGATGCTCCGTTACAAAATGAGAAACATTCATAGAATCCCAATTAAGTTCCATAATGGTGGCACCTCCTTCGTTTCTTAGACGACACGTTATATCAAGATATGAGTACTTGATTGGCGAAAGAAGAAGACACGCCTTGAATCTTGAGGATTCAGAGAAAGTAACCGTAGGGATGAGTATGGAGTTTCCTTTAGCTTTGTGAGTGAACTCCACAGGAACTTCTTTACCCGGAAAACATACATATTCGTAAACCCTTTGTTGTATGATTCCCCTTCTTGATTCTTCATTCAGTTTCAGACAGTTTTGGAACATGAGTTCCCTGATTGGATATTGGAACTTGAGGTCACTCATTGGATCATCATTGTAATGGAAACATACTCTCTCGAGTGATCCACAATCTGTCGCGTCCATGTATTTGAGGGAAGAGGGAAGACCTTGTAGTGAAACGAGTTTCCGGCATTTGAAGACGAACAGACTTTCTAGTCGAGAGAGGCCTATGACGCAATCTGGAATCGTCACTATACCACTGTTGCTTAGGTCTAGATGCGTTACACTTTGCGGGACATGTGTTAGTGTCATGAGGTTTCTGCTGCCTATCCGAAGCCATTCAAGACGAGGCAAGCGTTTGACAATTGATGGATCAACTTCCATCTTTGTGTTTCCAACATCGAGATCCTTGATGTTCATAGAAATATCTGGATAACTTCTCAACCGTGAGCAATCGCTCATGTCTACTTCCTCAAGAGATCCTAAGTTGATGTTCGTTGGAACCACTTGTAGCTTTACGCACCCCATCATCATCAGCTTTTTGAGTTTGTGAAGATTTTTAATAGAAGAGGGAAGCTCTACCAAACTTGTGCAAGAAGTAAGTGTTAATGTCTTGAGACTAGTAGCCTTTGAAAGATCTGGAATTTCTATCAAATTTTTGGAATATCCCAAATCTATCTCCTTGAGATTTGTAAGGGGCTGCATTAATGTCATACACAACAAGTTAGGAATATCTTATCTTTACATCCAATCATAGAACATTAATTATGGAAAATGGCAAAATAAATCCAAATTTTTATATTGTAGTTCTTTCAAAATTAAAGAAATATTGAACTTTTTAGAGTTTATTTATTAGTTTTAGAAATAAAGATTTATTTGTTTTTATGGTTAATGATTTGTTTTTCCACAATTTCACTAATTTTTAAAGATACTATATAGAAAATTTGATTAACATTTTTATAGAATATGTCATGTTTTCTTGAGATACATTATAGAGCTTCTTGAATTATTATAAACATATCTAAGAAAGAGAAAAGAAAAAAACACCAACCTGGATTCCTCTCCAGAGCTTCTCAAGCTTGCTGTATGCCATATGGAATTCAACAAGACATTCAGGTCGAAATGTTGGAGGAAGAAGTGTTCCTGGATATGAATCCCAATGGAGTAATCTGAGACGAGGTAAATATTCCATGTCTTCTAACATACGCAACGTACTAAAATGTCTCCCATAAATTCTTAAAAAACGGAGATTGCGCATTCCTTCAAAAGCTCTCCCACTTATAAAGAACTCGCTGACCTTTGACATATCTAGTGATATACCTACGACTGATCCAGTACCCTAGCAAACATTCCAAACAAGAAACTGATGAAAAAATTGTTATAGAAGACCAAATACTTGTTGAGCAAGTTATATAGAGAATATATATATATGTTAGAAGAACTTACTGTCTCATTTGCAAGCACATTACGAATATCTTTGGCCTCTACTAAAAACTGACGTTTTCCTGGCTCGTTAGACTGTTCATAGACAATTTGTCTCCCCAGTTGTTGTAGTAAACAATGCATCGTGATCCACCCATTGGCTGATATATACACAAGAGATTTATCTGAAAGAATTTTCAGCCCAATTCTTACATCCAAGTCGCTGTCGGCTAGCATGATTGTTACATGATCAATGGTTTCATTGTTAAAGAAGAATGCAATGTGGAGAAACAGAGATTGATCTTTCTTCAATAGTTTTTCATATCCCACTCTTAACACATCATCAATTTTCCTATCAAGGCTAGTTTCTAGCTTAGATAGTTGACCTTCCCACTCGTTTCTACTCTCCCCACGCAAAGATGAACCTACAACACGAAGGCCTAATGGAAGATTACCGCAAAGATTTGTTATTTTCTTTGCGAGATCTTCAAAACCATACAGTGGAGAA